TTAATATTTCATAGTGAAAATTAGTTCGTAGCATTAAATTGACACAGAACCTTACCAAGTTTGGACCACGTAGGTTTATTTTTTCGATAGCACCGCGGGCCCATATGTGGGCTTTCATGAAAATAATGTGCAACTTTTGGTGTATTATTACCAAAACGAGTGGATATCTGTATTAGGAAAAGTGATAGGCTATCCACTAATCGCTTTTGCCCGATTATAATTTTCTTACTTGTGTTAACAGACATTGTTCTGGATTTACTACAAAAAAATATCGTACGATTTTACCGATTTGCATAAAAAATTGCTTAAGGGGTTCAGTGTTGCTATGCAAACACCACTTGCTGTTGTTAAGCCTCAAACTATTCGGTTGGTTTGGATTTTCTCTCAACACTCTATTAAAGCTTTTAAAGAACGATAGTGTAAGATAGTTTTAAGCGTTCCATATTCTGCAGTAACCTTCAGAAGTGCATCTCTTTCAATTGAGGTGAAGTATTTTAATATTTCAATTTAGCAAAAGTGTCTACGAAATTTACATATACTAGATAGGTAAGACTGGAGAGAATTTTTAGAGAATTTAAAGTTTTCTCAGAAGAATTTAAGAACAATTTTCTTATTTAACAATTTGTTCATTAAAATTCAATCCTTGCTTTCAGTAAAGACATAGTAGGGAACGTTTTTACATCTGTACGGTTTATCTTTACTTTTAATTGTGTATGTATATAATGTAACGATAACTACAAGTTTATTGTAAGTTTTTATTGTGACTAATATTCTGGTGGCATTTTTCCCAATTTGATGTAAGCAGCACACCTTTAAGTGCCTTTATAATTATTTTGTAGACATGCAGGTATATGTAGGTGCGTGTGTGTATACGCTCGTATACATTTAAGCATACGAGTTTAATCGCATATGTATACTTAGGTATGAGTCAGATGTCTCATCCGTGCAGACTGTTGTGTTGAATAATGACATTTCAGCGGGGCGCGACAAATCATTGTACAATTTACAATAGATGCCTGAATTTTGAGGAAAACGTAAGAAAAACATAAAAGCGAATTTTTTCAAACACACGCGCGTGCCGATCTTTGTTATCATCTATAAATTATAATTGTTTTTGTATAACTAATAAGACGAATTTTGAAAATTATCTTTCGATTTTGTTTGTTTTATCATATTTTATTTAATAATTCATTCTTGTATACAGCCATGGATAAATGTATAGCACGCATATGACCATGAATAGAAATCCTAAGAGATTTTATAAAACTTTCATAATAATATGCAAATGCAAAAACGACTGATACGGAAAATAGAAATTCGCTTAGGAATTCAATGATATATTCAAAGGTGATAAAATAGTTTGGATGCACAAAGAGGAAAAAACTATCTGTGCTTGAAAGCATTGAAAAAACTATAGGCTAACGAGGAATGAAATCTATTAAGATTTTTGATTAAATTCGTGCTACTTCCGTGCCAGTGGCTTTATACAGGAATGTGCATAGACCAGTGTTGATTCATGCTGATTTTAATATTTATTGCAATTCGATATTCTGTTGGAAAACGTAACGTTCTTGACTTGTTATTATTATTACATCAGCAATCGATAAGCATACAAACTTCCCTGTACTCTGGGAAACATATGAAGGTATGTTTTCAAAATGCTTTGGACTTGTTTAACCAGTTAACTATGTGTGATGAAGATATACGTCATGAGAAAAATTAAAACATTTTGTGCTATGACGAAGACACACGTCATGATCCGTCCATCCGTCCTTGTCGGATTTCCTCTTACAATTTTATCATTATGAATTTCTATTTGCCATAATAATGTATTTTAGAAACTCCGTCTATATCATTTTGTCAACTTATTGCATTACAACCTAATATTATATAACACATACTCTGTGTATGACGAGTATACTCGTCATTTTACTGACGCAATTTAAATGCATATTTTCCAAAGACTCGTTGCGAAAAATGTTGCCCTGTTTATTGGTCTCTAGTTGTTGTTGTAGGTTGTTGTTGTAGGTTTGAACCCATGACCATTGAGTTGCTAATCGAGACTCTTTGGTTTTAGAGTGAAAATATAATTGGCTTTTCAGCATTAGCTCTATTTTAAGGATGCCAAGGAAGGTACTTTTGAAGAATCGAATCAATTTTGCTGAAATCGATGCTTATGTGCACAGGTGGACCGAAAAATAGGTGCGAAATGTATTTATCAATTCTTTGCCACAGAAATTGCAAAAGCCCACGCTACGTTTTTACATGTCGCAACATTATTGAAAATTAATTTTTAGGTAAATGATAATAATAAAACATAATAACAGGCAAATGGAAAAATGATAACCTCTAACAACTTAAAACGGCACATATCTACTTTCTGTCTACTTGTGTGTGTTTATATATACCTGAATGCCCATTCTACTATCTACCTATCTATCTATCTAGCCCGTCCAATTACCTATGTGACTAGATTGACGACCAATCTGCCTGTCTACCTTCTTCTTTTTCTTGGACGTTATAGCGGCGCGTTGCCAACTACTGAGCCTGCACTGGGATGAAGACCAATTCCGGTATGGCTTTCACATTACATCGAAATGGCCCCTATCAATTGTTTATCTTAACAATACCATCCCACCATCCTCCCCGCATGAAATTAGAGGTACGCCTTCGTGTGGCTTTATACGCAAACATATTGTGCAAAGAACTGGCGCATTTCTTCCATCTCTAGCATCTAGTTGCATGGCGCGACTTTTACTTCCAGAGATCTGGAAAGCACACCTATCCGTTTTTACCCACCTGCCTATATACTTACCAAGCTGTCTTATATGGCGCACTGACGCTCTGACGTAAGGGATATAGTTTATATATAATTAATCTCTAAAATGAAAAGAAACATGACGGACTTTTTTCACATTTAGAAATAAAATTTCTTAAATGAAGTGAAGGTATTACATGTGCTGTTGAGGGAGAATGAAGTGACAGTGCGGCTAGCACATCGGTAAATGTTGAATCAATAAAGAGTTTAAGATGATAAATGGAGCTCGGATCATATAAAGAAAAGTTGTGAATGTGAAGCAAAAATTATTCACACAAATTTATATCACTTTTTGTAATGGTTTCAAACACTTTTTCGAAAATTCACTTCTCTTTCATTGATGCGATATTACGATGACAAATAATTTGCACTTAATATAAAATCACATCGTTACTGAAAATTGTATTATTAAGATTTCGAAACGGATTGACTAATAAATAATAATCTAATAATAAATTGTACAAACAGACACAGCTTTGCTTTGGCAAAAGCAAATATTAACTGAATAAAATCTTTGCTCCTTGCTTCGACAAAGAAGACCATCACAATTTTTGAATAGTTAGAACCACCAGATACTATAGGCAATTCAATATTTTGTATACGGTTAGAAGTAAACAAACGTTAAAACATTAGAATGCGGCAATACCGGCTGCGAAATACCTTAATCCGCTCTGCCTAATACAATTTGTCATCTATTTGGGTCACAAAGTGTCAATAATTATAGCCTGTTTCCAAGTAAGGGCTGAGACTTTACAATAACCCCTACGTGGGTGTAGAACTCAAAACGTGAATTGTGTTCATCATAAAACAGTAAAAATTAGATGTGGATGCCATAGAAGGGTCCACTTTTCCTATGAATATTTATACGATTGAGATTTCTATTTCATTTGTTATACAAAATTCTTTTTATTCTTTTTCGTTGTATGTAGCCGCAAGATATTACAAATTGCGAGTGCTTTCTATATAAGAATTTTTTAATAGCGCTTTCAGCTCGTCGCTCGTCGTTAGGTAAAAGCATTTCGAATTGTATTAAATTTCATTAAAATATTTCATTAAGTTGAGGCTTGTCAGTTGAACACTTATACACTTACAAATTGACAGATATCAACAGACAAATGGACAGACATTTAATATGTGAAAAATTCCCTCGCATTTCTAATGAATATTCTGATCATTAATGTGTGTCTTCAGCGTTTTACAAATGAGATAAGGCAAAAACTAATAAAATCTTGTTTACGTATTGAATGCAGAAGACACTTAAATAATTGTTG